AATATTTGATAAGTTTTATATTACAATACAGAATATCTGTAACATAATAAAACGTTGTTGCGAACTACCCCGAGTACTACAAAACCGTGGTTGAAAGAGGTGGAATTCCCTTTTGATATCCATTTTGACATTAAAATCAGGAGAATGGCGTTCCTTCATGGCTTAAATCCCAAAAAGGCGGAACTCAGTCCACTACAATTTAATCCCTTCTACACATCACTGTAAACAACACAGCGACTGCCTTTTTGAGTCAAGACTATATTTATATAATTCATTTATCATGGCTTACAGACGTCTAAATTTAACATCACAAACATCTAGAAACGTCAAATTGAAACGTGAATAATCAAAATTATCAGCATTTCTGTAATAGAAATTAACACCATTCCAACACTGAGATAATATACAAAATAGAGGACAGCGACGATCTTATCTTTTTAACAGCTAGTCATATCAAGAATTTAGGGCAATAAGAAACAGCTAATCAACCCTACGATTCACAATAAACGTGGGAGTATACTCGCTTAACATGCATTCCAAGAAGTAAGGGCAGCAAGAACCTAATAATTATAAGTTCTATGGTCAATTCTATCATCGATACTCAAAACTAAATGCAATGTTGTATTTAAACTAATTTAATCAAGTTATTAATCGGACGAACTCAACCTATGAATACATTCTCAATAGTTACAGAAAAAATGTTTTATATTATTTCATAAATCTGCGCACTGTTATTTGGTCGTGAAGAAACAATTTTAGTAACCGACTTTGTAACAACATTAAATCATGCAGAAAGGCAAAACAAACTAAATACTATTTCTAATAATAATTACATTTTTCTCGCCTAATTTGATTTTTTATTATTATTTACATCTTAAAATAACATATTTCAGTTTAACTTTTTAAAATCAAAAGTACAAGTGTCTAAACTTTCAAGTTCATAAAATAACGATGTTAATGAAAGGCAAGTTTTTTTAAAGCATATATAAACTGTAAAGTGTCCGGTTAATTTTTTATTTTTTAAATATAATACTTTTCTTCATTGGGGCAGAATATAGTAGATAATGAATTGCAAGGTTTCTTTGTTATTCTGTAATTTTCCTTTGTTGCGTATTTTGCAATTTTGTTTCATTCCATTAGGGCTAGGCCCGTATTCAATAAAAACCTTGCATTTTCCTTGGCACACGCTCTCGGAAAACACTCAGTGAGATACTTTTTTATATTCTGTGTAAGGCATTTTGTTAGTAAAATCTCGAAAAAGAAATATATATACTTTGATACACAAAAGTTTACTCGATTTATAAGAAACGATAGAGAAAAGGTTAAGTATGTTACATTAAAACGATTTAGGAGCCTCATCGTGTCATTACGGTCAATGTCGCCACGTCTGGTCATATTCATGCTTATCTGATGACCATCCACCTTGACAATAGACCCACAACGTAGTTTACACAGCAAAAGTCTCCATCTTAAAGCTGTCATGCTCACAGCACACCTTTACTCCCTGCCTACTTTCAATAATCCATCTCGTGTAGAATGAGGACAGTTTGCTGGCACCAGTTTCAACAGCCACTGTATATTTAACAAACAACGACAGTAATCCAAATTGGGAAGGTCAGTTTCACGTGAGAAGGAAATGGCAAAACTCACAGAAGTAACACTTATGAAACAAGGTTGGCAAACCAAGTGTATCTCCTATTGTTGGCAAATGTTTTTGAAATTAGTCAGTACATACAAAAATACAAATTTATATATTATTCCTATCGTTTGTCCTCTCCACGCAAGTTGAAGAACTAACATGTTTCCTCTCATGCGAACAATTCGACTCTTCATATATCTTGGCGAGCACTGTGATCCCAACATTAATCCTGTTTCAATAATTCTGATAATTAGCAAAAATTATCCTTGCCATTTAAGTTAAAATATTTTGAATTAATACCTACGATTACATTACTTACATCACTCAAATGTATAGTACATAATTTGTACTTTTAAAACCAATAGTTTTGTTTGTTTGTAATTAAGAACAAAGCTACACAATGGGCTATCTGTGCTCTGCCCACCACGGGTATCGAAACCCGGATTCTAGCGTTGTAAGTCCGCAAACATACCGCTGTGCCACTGGGGGGCA